TCACAAGATCGGTTGCATCGTACCTGCAAGAGCGTGAAACGCATGGCGTCCCTTCTCCTATATCTACTTATTTGGAATCTCCTGCGACAATCCTCTACAATGCCTGTTGACTGAGATGGCAATATTGAAGACCAGCAAATCAAAGATTCCGCCTCCCTACAAACAAGTACAATCAACAACCCACATGAGATTGGTGACAGGTGGGCATGATGAAGGCAACAATGGGTCTCCTACGAACAGTTCCAGGAGCTACGTAGTAAAACAACGGCTCCGCAAATACATGACAAGTCACTTTGTGGATAACAAACCAGTGGTACCTCGTTAGCATCACAGGTAACTCTGCGTTAGTTTGCTTTTTAGTGGTTTTTCACGAACCCTGTGGACAGAGTCAATCATACAACCACCTCGAGATTTGGTGAAAGGGTTGATATGAATGCAGAATGAATCGAATCTCCTGCAAAACATTTTCTAAGCTCGTAGTGGATACAGCGGTCCCCACATAATGCATACGAATACTGTGGATAACAATAGTGTATTGAAACATCAATGAATCACGTGGACACAAGTACGAATATCATCTACGACAGTGTTGATCAAGATTCACAAGTCGCGCTTGAAGTATAAGGGTAGACTCTATGTACAAAAAGACATCCCCTGGCAGGAAAGGACGGGAGAATTTTGAACAAATAGAACCAAACTTCCCTGGTGTTCCAAGTCTCTTTTGTTCTAAAATAATTAAGAAGATAACAGTTCGGTGTGCCACAAACACGAAAAGTAGCAATCCAACTAGCCAGAAGAGCCTGAAAGGAGTTCTTTCCAAATTACGCGGTCTTTGATCCAAATCCAAGAGAAACCTTCCCGCGTTGAAAATGAGAAAAAGGGGGGAGTTTAATATCAAGACTAGAACACCACTCTGGCATCCGCAACACTCGTTACTACGGACGAATAGGCGTTTTAAATACTTTCAAAAATACGCCCTGTCACGTGCCCTATAAACTGTAATACACATAGGTACCACTAAAGGGTATATAAATACACCCAAGGCGCGCTGTCAAGCGTGTTATTGGTTACACAATCACTGACGTCTAGATTGCTGCCGGGGGTTGAGCAAGTGATTTAAGTTCGAACCCAGATGCTCTTCATTAACAAGTCAATAGAAGTCGATAAGCTCGAACCAACAAACAGAAATATGGTTGTTGGCGACTCGTCATTGTCTAATCCATTCATTTAGCGCCTTCAGCCGCTGCTATTCGCTATATATCAGAGAATTCTCACTTGTCAAAATGCCATTAAAGCTACGCACACCCGCGACCCTCGCAAGCAGTGTGAATAGAGAGATAGACAGGGTTCGAGATATCGAATAAATATGCGGTCACAGAGTTGACCGAATATTCTATTTTGTGCATTTATATTCGGCCTTCAAGGCTTTCAACAAAGAAAATTTACTAAACAAAGCATAAAGTCACTACCAGAAAACCCGATCCTAGCTCGACCACAGCAACGGTCTTTGGTCGACCTCTTGACAGCGCTTCAACAACCAATGGTAAATGACCCGCCCCGAAACCTCCCGATGATGGCATTCTGTGTTGAACATGAAGATTCTCAACACGGAGGGGTTCATTTCAGGCATTGTTTAAATGCCTCCAAAAGTCCAAAATCAAAATTTTCTCCACAAATCCCCTTAAACTCCAGATTCATCCTTAACATCTGTCAAATCAATCCAATACAATCACCTCAAAAGCTAACATCCATCCACCCTCCTGCAACAGTTATGTGCCCCTCCGAGTTGAATAATTCAAATAAACTCTAAGCTCACAAAAGGCCAATGCCTACACAAAAAATATCACTAGGATCATTCCAAACAATCTCTTGCCAGAAGACGTGATACGTTGTCATCTAACCGGCGGTCTGGCCGCCCAATAGGCACCGCAGGATAAACGGTTATACCCGGTGGCCCTCTGAACCGATGGTTTTTGCTGCCAATGGCCACCACATATATCGGTTATGGCCGGAGCCAATACCCTTCTTATTGCATCAAAATCCTTGAGATATAGATCAATAGAATATCGATAGGTGCACAAAAGCCCCTCTGTTAGCTAGGTGGCATTAAATTTTGTCCCCTTAGACAAATTTCACCGACTAGTCTGACAAGTCCCCTTGGACAAGCAACCAATGGCTTGCGACAAGGATCCCTTCCCTTGTTCAGGTTGGGTTACGATCTACTCCTCCTCTGGACTAACAGTAGATCCATACGGCGACCACTGATGGCCCGGAACGGACGGAACCATGGAAATCATTCGATCTGGGTCTAATCAATCCATTCCCCCCAACACCAATCCGCGTTTAAGTGCTTAAGATGGTGAAATATTCTGTTTAAATATCAAATCTTCCAGTTCTCAAATTTCTCCAACTATTTCCAAACTTCATGCTGCTACTACAATGCCTGCTCGATCTATTAACCGTATCTGATTGACACTAGCATTAATCGAAAGTTCTCTCTCGTGATCGGGAGGGGCAATAAATATAGGGGCTTCCCCTATAGAGAACCAGAACTCAGATCATAAAGTCACTCACAAAATAGAAGGCGAAAGACTCTGGGTAGGTCTTATCTACAAAACCCATCTGCCTCCAATAATGTTATACCCCGGAACATATCCCGACTATATCCTCCCACTACTCAAATATCTCCTCCATACTCATCGCCGAACATAATCATAAATACCATACAACACATATCCATATAAACAAACAATTTCAAACTCTGCACCTATCCTTTACATCCAATCCACATCATACCCCCCACATCCTTCCCATAAGCACAGCTGGATGCCGGGCCGAAATTTTCGACCCACATCGCTCAAGAGTAGAGGCTCATTGTTATAGATAAGATATCAACCACAGAGAAACCACAATTGTAAGGCCTATTATTGGTAAAACTATCCTCAAAATTTCGACATAAGCGGTGTGGGAATTTTGTGTCCCTCATCTCCAACAATGAAGGCTATATTATAGTAGCAATAAAGGTTATTTTATCAGCAATAAAAGACAACCTTTTGATTGATATCATGTCAGAACCCCAAGTAAGTTTGATTTGCTATGTATCTCCATCCTTGGCCATACAAGGCCAAAATCTCTCTCTCCCCCAAACCTTCAAACCTAATTTCCAAATCCAATTTCTACCAACATCCAAACCCATTGCTGCTACTATATGTTGGATAACACGTATATTCTACGTATCTGATTGACTACTAGCCTTAATCGAAAGTTCTCTCTCGTGATCGGGAGGGGTAATTAAATATAGGGGCTTGCGCCTATAGGAAACCAGAACTCAGATCATAAAGTCCTCACAAAATGAGGGCGAAAACTCTGGGTAGTGTCTTATCTACAAACCCATCTGCCTTCCAAAATTTACCCCGGAACATATCCGTTAAAACTCCCTCATCGCCGAAATAAAGGAATAATAAAAAGAAATCGCGCGGCGGGGAGGCCGGGGCCGAATTTTCGGAGCCCACACTCGCTCAGAGGTAGAGCTGCATTGGTTATAGATAGGATATCAACCACAAGAGAAAGCCGACAATGAAGGCCGATGATGGAAAACTATCCTCAAAATTTCGACAGTTAAGGCCGGTGGTGGGAATTTTGTGTTCCTCAGGTTTCCAACAATGAAGGCTGTATTTATAGTAGCAATAAAGGTTGATTTGATCAGCAATAAAGACTGATTTGATCATGTCAGCAATTAAGGTTGATTTGCTTGTATCTCCATCCTTGGCCATGGGATCAAGGGCCAAAGGGATGGTTGGGATTTGAACAGGAAACACTTGAAGATTTCAAATAAATCCTATCAATTTCAGAAAAACAACGATAATACTCTTCCAAACTTCAAAAGAAAACCATAAAAACAATAATTTTACTGCAAGAATCAAATAGAACGGAAGAGAACAACAAGATACAAGTGATCCTCTATTCGAGAGGAGGATCGATCTCTCCCAAATCTCTAGACGCCGCTAGAGCCCAAAACCTAAACCTGAGAGACCTCAAATTTCAGCCAAATTCAAGATGCCCTAATCCTAGGAAAACAAACTATTTAATGCATACAATTCAAAAGGAAATCTCTTAACAATCCCTACATTCAAATCTCTCTCCTAACTCCCTAAAAAATCCTTCCTAAAAAGCTCCGCTAGCATTTGCGGTTCGGTCGTGCGTACAGGATAGGCGGAACTCTCCGCCTTTATTCCGCCTGAGCCGGTCCTGTATGGACTGGCATGACCGGTCCAGTGGATTACATCCCTGACAAACATGTCATTTGGTGCCTTCTTCTTCATTGGCATAGTGGTAATTGGCCCAAGCTGCAGCAACTCTTTATCAAAATGGGTGCGAGTGGTCTTTGCATAAATCCTATTTTCCGATTGGAGAACAGGATGGGCTCATTAATGCCCAAATGCAAATTACAAATTGGTCCCACCCCAATATTCAGTCTATGGTTGATCAGCAGAAAATCTAAATATATTATTTGTTGTCTTTATTGGATTAAATCCAGCGTGTACTTTAGTTGTCCAATATATTTAAAACATTTTTATGGTCCATTTTACTATGGAATAATTAGTATACGACCTTTTAAATTTTTAAGCTATTAGCAAAATGCCCTTTCAGCACAAATATTCTCCCATTCCAGATGCTATCAAATTCATTTTTTTAAAACTGATTTAAGCTTGGTCGCTACACATTCATTTTATGGTCTGCTTTTTGTCTCTTATTAAACAGCTCCATTATTTGTTAGTATGTTAATACACTTGTGTTTTGTATCATGTCCTGTTCACTTTGCATCTATGACTGTTTTCTTAATGTTGCATTATTTCATTTATATTAGCACATAACTGGCGTTCTTATTGCTGGATTCTTCAGCTTACCAGTAATATGTTTAAATTATGCCAATTAATTGATTTGATATGTTGATTCTTTTTGCATTGGAATTATTGATTTTTTACTTTTTTTATGGGCAGAGTGCTGTCACATGTTTGTGCTTCACTCCAAACTCCGAGAATATAATTACTGCATCAAAAGATGGTACCATTAGAATATGGAATATTAACGGTATGTTCAATGAGGGTCTTGATATTTCTGTTTTTATATGCTTATGTTTTAGAAAGATCTATCAGCTTATAAATATCGCTATTCTAGATTGTGATTAATTGAGTACTACAACTTACCCAAAAAATAAATAAACTTACCCAAGTATTCCACATTAGGTTGCAGAAACCACATAGTTTTGTAAGCCATTGCTCTAGCTTTAATATCATGAGGACATATTCTTTATTAGTTTCTGAAATCATAGTTTTCAGAATGTTTTTATTGAATTTAAACCGCCTTTGAAGCTTTTAAATTATGCTTGCCATTTATACAATTCTTTTGCCTTTGAGTTCTCTTTAGTTTATTCGTTTTTGAATTGAATTGGTTGTTTATGAACTGTTTGTAATGTATCGCTGGAAATATTTTCCTTTGCATATGATGCAAGTTTGTATCAATAGCTGATCCACCCTTCTCATTCTTTTCTGTTAAGTGCGCTATCACCTGGATGAGGATCCAAAGACGTTGAAAGTATTCAAGATTCCCCTTAAAGAGGCTAAAGGCACCCCTTTACTTTATGATCATATGAGCATCTCACCCGATGGAAAAATTCTTGCCGTCACTTCTGGTCCTACATTGCAATGGCTGTGTACTGAGACGGGGGAGGTTTTAGATACAGCTGATAAATATCATGAAGGTATGTGGCTTTCTCCACTTCTATGAACTTGGGCGCTATAGAGCATTCAACAAAACTGAATTAAAGGTGCATTAATACTATAGTTTACAAACTCACAATAAAACAAACAAAAATAGCCCAAACCCTTTGGCTCAATTGTCTGGCATCTGGTTTAAAAACTGGCCATCCATTTTTTTGTTTTGTTTTTTTTTAATTGAGAACTATTGGATCTTGTGCTTGAACATTTTAAACTTGATATTTCCATTGATAAAACAAACCTGGGGTCAGTGTTCATATTGTGGCAGGCAACTTAGGCTTAGTTTGGGACGGCTTTCTTACTCTTTCTTAAAGCAGTTTTTTTGTACCAAAATATGTATCTGCTGTTAGCTGAAGGATACCACATAGTGCATTAAGGGTGTCACCAGGGTAAACTTTGTGGGTTTTTTCTACTTAAGATCTTAATGATACCCGGGACTGCTAAAGCTCTTTAAATAATGATGTTCCATGCTAAGCAGTGCATTTACTCTTTGTATTGCTTGGATAAACATATATGATCTTCGATATATGGCTTTGAGTTTTGAGAATACAAAAAATTTGAAATGCAGTATCATTCTTCCTGAGGCATGCTTTACTTCAATATTATTTTAAATATATATATAGCTGATTAATCTTAAAATTTTGTGATGCATGCATATTAACCATTTTTTTGCGAACAAACAGGTGACATTACAGGTATTGCATGGGCTCCTCAACTGATTCCGAACGGTATTAATTCTTCACTCTGTCAGAATATCTATCATCTTCTTAGTATCAATTTGCTATCAGATTTTTTCGCTCCATGAGTACTTAGATTCATTTGTTGATGGTCAAAGTACCTGCCAATTCACAAAATAACTCATTGATTATATATAGTAGCAATATGTATCTATCAAGCAGACTACTTCTAGAATGTTGAATTCTAATTTCAACCTTGTTGAATCACCAGCTTAAGTCATCCCTTACGCGCACCAATTAGGGCTATACATTACTAAGGCTTCATTTGGGATGGCTTTCTTACTGCTTCTTAAAGCAGCTTTCTAATAAACTTTAAACTTTTGTACTAAAAAGCTATTTTAATAAGCAATAAGAAAGCCATCCCAAATAAAGTCTGAGTTGAGCTGAGTACTGTCTTGTTCAAATTTTCATGTTTGTTTATTAAGTTTCTTATATAATTAAGCCTTACTAACTATATCAATCATGATAATAATTTTGATGAGGACATCGTCAGCGATTTTGACACATGTACCATCAGGAGACGCCGGAGATCGACGGCCTCGATCATGAGCTTTATTTTGAGTCATTTTATTTAATAGTTCATTTTATTTTTCAATTTTTTTCGCTTTTGCCCTTATGGGTATTTGGTCGCTATTGTAGCCCAAGGGGCATTTTAGTCTTTTGTTTTCTTTATCATTTGGAGGCCTATATATGGCCCTTTTCTTATGTAATAGTTAGTTTTTTTATGAAATAAAATTTGCCACTTATGATCTTTTTGTGAGTTCACCCTCCTCGATCTCTTAGTGAGTTCTTAGGAGAAGCTAGATCTATTTGTGAGTTCTAGATCTTCTTGTTCTGCTATTTTTCTTCCTTTATTTCTTGTGATCGATTTGTCATCGTGGAGATCCGGTTGAAGCATTTGTGGGAAA